AGCAGCGCAAGGGGGAGGCGGAGTGCGAGGCCGCGGCGGTGCTGCCGTCGCTGTCGCCGGGCGCCGCCTTCGCTGCACTCAACACGTTGGTGGTGGACGCCGCTTGAGCAGCCGCCCCCGCTGCCGGCTGAGTGGCTTCTCCTCTCTCGCCACTCGTTTCGGGTTCCTGCTTGGAGGTGGTGACTGCGGGCTGTTCCTTTTGTTCTCGCTGACCAGCCTCGTTTGTCCCCACGGAGCTTCCCGGCTGCGGCTGCACCGCGGGGCTGCTGCTGCCACCGCCAGTCGTGGTCGCCGGGTGGCTGGCCTCAGTGGCGGTGTCCTCTGCTGCGGGCAGCGGCTCCTTGCCGCTGCTCGTCGGTGTACCAGCGGCAGCTACACCTTGCTGTTGGGCTCCAGGGGCCGCTGCGGCAACAGGCCCTGCAGAATCCTCGGCAGTCGCCTCAGCCTTCTTTCCAGCCTGTTCGCTTGAAGTGCCACCGCCGCCCGAAGGGGCAGTCACTTGAGCTGCATCCACTGCCCTTCCACCCGGTGTATTACTCGTGTCAGCTGCGGCCGGCACAGCTTCTTTGGGCTTAGCCTTCTCGTCACCGCCGTCTTTGCCATCACTTGGCACACTCTCCTCGACATCTTTTTCCTTCGAAGGAACCTTCCCCAATGTCGTCTCCTTCCCTGCTTCCACTGGCCCTTCAGTTGGCGCTGGCGGCTTTGTTAGTGTCGAGGATCCCTCTGGTGACCCTGCCGTCGGTGCCGATGACACTACGACACCGTGCCCCGTGGCGTCGTTGCGAACGCTTTTGGTGAGCTCTTCCACCTGAGGGCCGTCGGCAGCAACATTGGGAGTTTTAGAGGGGACTATTTCGATTGTTTCTTGAGCATTTACATCCGATGTATTCTTCAAGGCTTGAGTGTGTTTATCACCTTGGGTTGCCGAGACGTCTGCTCCCTCCAATGGAACTTCTTCAGGCGTGCTCAAGTCCGTTTTGTGTTGTTCCTCTTGAACTGTCCTTTGTCCGTCGAGCCCTGTCGAAGACACTGCCTGTGGAGGCCCCTCAAGGCTGTTCTCTGTCTGTCCTTTGCCTTGCGATGTCTCAGCGTCGCTTCGCCCGTCCAGCGAAGCCCCAAGTTGCCCTTCGGCGGCCTTTCCGCCAGTAGAAGCACCCGATGCTGAGTGCCCTTCCGTTTCGCCCAAAGGCGAAGGCGAAGGCGACGACTCTTTTCCTCGTGACGGTGGCCCGCCCAGTCCTCCGTGCTCCCCTGACCGCCCAGTTTTTTCTTCTCTCGAAACCGCGGCGCCATGCGTATCCGCCTGCGGATCATCTTCCTCCCCTTTTCCTATTGCTCCGGCGGTTTGTGCGGGGCCGCCGTTGGAAGCGACATCGACACCGTCGCCCCCTCCACCGGGGCCAGACACATCCTCCTCCACCTCATCATCGCCCTGCAGACTCGCCCGCAGCCCCCGCACAAACTCCGGCTTGCGGCCGCAGTACTTCGCCGCAATTTCCGCGTCACTCATGTCCTTCGCGACGGCCCGCAAGTCCCTCCAGTCGCGCCCCGTGCAGTAGTCCCCCTCCGACGCCCAGCCCCCGCCGGCGGCGCAGCACAGCACGCAGAGGGCGCACACCAACAGCGCACGGCCAGCCATCGCCACACTCCTCCCACCGCAGCACACGCACACGCACAGCGTCTAGCGAGGGGCAGAAATAGAGAGAGAGAAAAGGGACAAACACACACAGATATAAGCAGCCCGCGGAATGGGTGCATTCAACCAACACGCACGCAAACATAGAAAGAAAGGAATGGCCGAGGCATCGCCGTCCCGCTAAGGAATAAAAGAAGCAACGGCAGAAGACGGTTTTGTGTACGTTCCTCCGCATGTGCCCTCACGATAGCCCGCAGCGGCAAAGCGCACACCGCAGCGGTCTCAAGGGGCCCCTTTT